ATGCTGAAGTTCATACACTAATGGGTCACATATACTTTTATATTGTCCAATAAAATAAATTAATTCTGCGCATGGAACATTATAAACTGTGGTTTTAATTGAAATTTCAATGGAAAAGGAGAAAATGGAAAACTGCTATGACTTACATAGGTTTATTTTTTCAATACCATTAGAAAGTCTCTCTCAAAAAAACCCTAAATAGCTGAGGTCCCTTATCCCTAAATTCTCTGAGACGCTATGCAATTTCATTATTCTGAGGGCTGAGTGACTAAATCCAATTCAACTCTAAGAAATTAACTCTGCTACATTGATTTATCATCATCTCTGTCTATTAGTCAATTCTAAACCCCTAGACCTTGTGACAAATAAAGTATTCCAGTAAGTGCAGCATTTTAAATTCCATTAAATTGCATTCTGCTTTTTAAACTCAATTATCATGAAATCAATTCTAAAAATTCTTCCTACTAAGAAGTATGAAGAAAATCATAGTTCTAACTTACAGCAAATGCTAGAGTTTTATGCTGGTTTATGATTAATGGTATTTTGCTTCATTTACTTAAACCAAGGTGAAATATTCCTAAGGTCAGCTAAAATACTCTAAGCACAGCATGTATTGAAATGAACAGGTTTAGAAACAGTTTCCATTGTAATTTAAACTGTTAGCCTTGTAAAACATATGAGGCTTTCCAAAGCTTGAGAAATACAAACTATGGGAGAAATAGCGTGGTGCAAGAGAAGCCTGTAAAATCTTACTCAGTTGTCTGTGGTTGAAGAGAGAATTCAGAAAGGAGCTCTGGAAACTGAGGAACTAGGATCCTGTTTCTAGCTGAATTTTTTGGGTGTATTTTCTTATGCAAGATTCTACAAAGCATGTGGTGTGTAGTTAATGTTTAACCCTTATTGATGTCTCCCACAGAAAAACTGTATTCCATGGGGACCTCTGATGGTTTATTCATGATGAAGCAATTTCTTTGCCATTCTCTAAGGCACTGGAAAATACTGTTTTTCAGTATTTTTTTTAAATTATTCTAATGCCTTAGTTTATTAGGCTTTTAAAACATCTGAGTATGTGATTAAGAATTTATCTCAAAGTCACCAGTAAGCAACTACTTATTTTAGTCTTGGTGTTATTAATTGATTTTAATGTAAATTAGGTGTCAAAAGTACTCTGAAGATCTGGAAGTAAATGACCTCTTCCTAATTCTGCAAAG